TTACATCACTCTTTGAGAAAATCCACTCTTGTTGGCTATCCTAATTCAACCCTAGAGTTAGGTGGAAGAAAAAAGAGTCATACATTTATACCCATTGGCATTTCAAACTCTTTTACCGGAAATCCAAAGCAAATCTCTTTGCAGCATAACACAAGAATAGGGTTAGATACCTCCAATTGCTGAAGTGCATTGGCCGAGAGAGTCATCTCCGTGCTGCTTGAGAGGGGCCTAAAAGAAGCTCCTAGGTGCAGGATCCTTTCTAAACCAAATTGTTTCAGATGACGAACAGTTAAGGCCAGTGCTTGGACTGCCAAATTTGGCATGTTCATTATTCCCTATAAAACAAAAGGAAAAAGGAAATAGAGTAACGCAAATTGCAGATGAGAAGAAGAAAACAGGAAAATAAGGTTAAACCGGAAAATGATGATAATCTAACAAAAGGAGAGGACTAAAATAAATTTTCGCCACTGACAGAGCACCTAGAAAAGAAGTATTTCATTGATCCACAAGGATAAGAGTGCCAAAGGTACGGTAAACTATTGAAAGACACTAGCATGGGGCAAACCTACCAGCTAAGGGTAAAATGCAGAACCAAAGAAATGACAGATAAAATATCACAAATATCATACCTCAATTCCCAAGCAAATAGTACTCTGATCTTTCACATCGGTATTTATCTTTGGCTGATCTGTTAAATCATCTCCATCCATGTTTTCATATAAGGACATTACTTCAGCAAAAGCACCACCTTCGTTGAAGTGGTCTCGTGAGACGTGCTCCACGCGGACATGTGAAGCAGGTCCAGAAAAAGCAAGTAACATCTAATGACAATAATCAAACCAAAAGACGAATCAAACTTGGTAATGCAATAATGACATTATGCAAGTTGAAAACCTTCTTCTGATGCTTGGATTGCCATTTTTAAAAAAATTATGATGAGCAGGCTTCCAAGTTCCAAACTTCCAATCATTATTGAGTAACAAAGTAGCTGAGGTTAATGGAAAGCCCACAATTTTAAACTAAGCAATGAAACAGATACAAACACTGATTAACATTTCGAAGACTAAACCCTGGAATTAACTCAATTCTCTAACTAAACCAGTGAAACTTTCCAGTATAAAATACCAAATACCTTCTCTGTTTGTTTGGAGAGTGGGTCCCCAATAAGCAATTCAGCGGGAGACAAGCTCAAAACCGCAGCTTCAAGCCCGCTCCTCATACAATTATCATTGAACTCTCCGTAAACAACGTCTCCAGTCGATACCTCCACCGCAACAATCCCAATTTTCACTTCAATCCCACTGTCAACTCCGCCGTCCACATTTTCTAACGCAACGCTCTTGTCCACAACACAAGCCAAATAATTACTATCCCCACCACACCCCTCTTCTTTACCCCCGACATCCTCAGCCGCCTCCAGCGTCGCCTTGGTGTACAATGCCGACAATCCCCGGCCAAATGGGCCAGACCGGTTCGACCCGTGGGCCTTAATGGCCGCGGTTTCGGTCTGCTTCACCACGCCGACCTTGTACCCAGCGCTCACCAGCCTCCTAACGTGGACATTCAACCGGAAAGTGGGCACACTAGCAGTCAAGAAATTGTGATCCATATGGGCATAAATCCCCAAAACCCTCGCAGCAATTTCGGCGTCTTGGCCGAAGAACCGGTACTTGTAACCGACTTCCACCATCAAAAGGACATCTGGGTACCTCTTCTTGAGGTCCACCACTTGCTGCTCCAAAGGCGTGAACTTGGCAGGTGGGTTGGAAGAAGAAGAAGGTTCTGGAACGTCGGATGATGGTTCTAGAAGCTTCTGGAGGAACTTTTGGTGGAGGGAGGGATTGGGTGCGGTGGGTATAGGGTTGTGGGTGTGGGGAGAGAGTTTGGGTAGTTTTGATGGTTTGGGAGATGAGGAGGTGAGGTGGGAGGAGAGGAGAGTGCGCTTGGAGGGTGAGAAATTGACAGTGGCTGTGATTTTGGGAGGTGGGGTTGGTAGGTGATGAGGGTTTGCAGATGATGATGAGGAGGGAGGAAATGATGATGAAGAAGATGAAGGGTTTGTGGTTTTGGGTTTGGGAGCAAAGAAGCGCGATATCACTTGCTGCTTTTGCTTTCCCATGGTGGTGGTGACGATCTGAACTGAATCGCTGAGGAGGACCCGAAAAAAGGGGGGGTTTATGATTTGGCGCGCTCATAAAAAAAAAGGAACGCCAATTCATATAAAATTTTAATGAATATTCCACCCACACCTAATAACAATATAATATTTGATATTTGATATTTTGGTTGACGTCACACGAGCCATCAATTAGAAATTTGACATTTATCATTTGAAATTTCCATTGACGATGTTAGAGCATCCGCAATGATGCTCTCTATTTCTTAGCTAAAATTTAGCTAAAAATATAAGGAAGCTATTTTAGGAGCTCTCTAAAAAATTTCAACTCCAACCATACTCCCTAATTTGGAGAGTCATAAATGCTATAACTCTTTTTTGATTGGTCCATCTCTATTAACAAATAAAATAAAAAATAGTTTGCATTAAATAAATGTTTGAAATACTCATTAAATAATGCGGCATTAAATTATAGGGAGCCACTAGCAGTCCTTTCTCTTTCCTCATATTTAGGAGCTCCTAGAGGACTCCCTATTTTAGGAGGTGGATAGGGAGCATGGTTGGAGTTGCATTTTTACAATTCCTTCCTAAAATTTATCTACGGAGGTGGTTTAGGGAGCCCATTGCGGATGCTCTTACTAGGGTTTAGCAAAATGATACATTATTTTATGGACAATGCTTGGCTCCTTATATATCAGGAGTCATTCCTCCTCTACACAGACGTGGCCTTATTTAAAAAACGACGCTTTTTTTTTTTCCACCGACTCTCCCTCTCTCCCTCTTCTCACCCACTCTCATCTCGTCAGCTTTGTCTCTTCCCCTGCAACTCATTAGAAGAAATTTTCATCCCCTTTCTATTCCCATCGCTGCCATCTTCCCTCCTCGGCATCAACGTCGACCACTGTCTTCCATCTCCGCGTCACCTCCCACTCCCCCATTCCCCATTCTCTCTCCAATCACCCCTCCTCCATCATCATCACCCAAACACTATATCTTGTTTTCTCTCCTTTTTAATTTTTAATTTTATTTATTGGGAAGATCTGGAACTCTTATGAATGGTGGAAGATTCCAGGATACAACTTGGGGGAGAAAAATTTTCTCCGCATCACTCTCTCTCCTCTAGATCTGAGTTGAAGGGAAAGAGATGGAGAGATAAGATGAGAGAAGACAGAGCATGGGAGGAGAGGAGAGGTGAGTGGGTGAGAAGAGAGAGAAAGAAAGAGTCAGTGAAAGAAAAAAAAAGAAAAGAAAGAAAAGAAAGAAAGAAAAAAACAGGTGTCATTTTGTAAGAGACCATGTCTTGTGTTGAGGAGGAATGGCTCTTGATATGCCAAGCATTATCCTTATTTTATAACATTCATTAGTCCTTTTTTTTTTCGTTCCATGCGCTGCCATCTTCCCTCCTCGGCATCAACGTCGACCACTGTCTTCCATCTCCGCGTCACCTCCCACTCCCCCATTCCCCATTCTCTCTCCAATCACCCCTCCTCCATCATCATCACCCAAACACTATATCTTGTTTTCTCTCCTTTTTAATTTTTAATTTTATTTATTGGGAAGATCTGGAACTCTTATGAATGGTGGAAGATTCCAGGATACAACTTGGGGGAGAAAAATTTTCTCCGCATCACTCTCTCTCCTCTAGATCTGAGTTGAAGGGAAAGAGATGGAGAGATAAGATGAGAGAAGACAAAGCATGGGAGGAGAGGAGAGGTGAGTGGGTGAGAAGAGAGAGAAAGAAAGAGTCAGTGAAAGAAAAAAAAAAGAAAAGAAAGAAAGAAAAAAACACGTGTCATTTTGTAAGAGGCCATGTCTTGTGTTGAGGAGGAATGGCTCTTGATATATCAGGAGCCAAGCATTATCCTTATTTTATAACGTTCATTAGTCCTTTTTTTTTTCGTTCCATACACATTATTCATTTGGATCCATTTTCTTATGATGTTCTTTCTAGTTTGTATTTTCTTTGTGTAATGTGTAATATTGCACTATGCATACCTTTTGTTTTTGTTGGAACACTATGCATACCTTATTAAAATGTCCATACATTGCATAGACTAGAATATGATCATGGGAAAGAACTAATGTAAATGTAATATTTAATTCACGTGATGTATGAATTAACGTGTCAATCAACACAAAAAGACAACTTTTGATTGAATTGCACGGCATGAATCACATAGATGTGCGAATCGTTGCAAAAAATGAAACATAACGCTAAAATAAACAAAAATAAACGTACTAGTTCAAAACCTTACATTTGCTTCACACAATGCTTTTTTCTCTCCAACCCTAGTCCCGCTCTCTAAAAAAAAGTTCTTCATCCCCTCTCCTTTCTTTCTTTCCTTCTACTCTTTTTCCTCCTATGTCTGCTAATCATCTATCCCTCTCATATGTGAGAGTTTTATTTTCTTATTCATGTTTGTTTGTGGATGTCCAACCCCTATTTTTTCCCACTCGCAATCCTACCGTCACATCCATACCTATGTCCCTCCCCTCGCTGTTGAGTGCTCCACCGACTTCTCCTCCCTCATGCTTGTCCCCCTTCACATTATAGATAATGTTTGTGAAAGGGATGCTTGGTTTTGGGAGTTAAGGCTCTTTTTATATCCATTTGTTTGACCATATGAGCATGTATCGGTTTCGCCCACATTCTAGATGGTCTCTTCGGGTGTCTTCACAAGCCTTTATTCTGGTGGTTTTCACGGTGGTGCTGATCTTGGCGGCGGCAATGACAACAGTTGATGGTTAAAGATGACCTTATTTGACAAGGTTAGGGTTTGTAGTAATTTTGGGCTTTGTTTATGTGTTTGGTTTAATTTGTTTTGTTTTTCTTTTCCAATTTGTTTTGTTTTTCTTGAGTTTGTGATGTATTTGAGCTAATTAAGGCGCTTTTCCTTTCTGTCTAATAGGTTTCACCACTTTATTAGTGTTTCAAAGCCCTAGCAACTCCATACAACAAAATTTTTACACGAACAAGATTTCAGACTTTTTGTCTCTCAAGGCTGCAACTGTATGATTATTATGTTACCCCAAAAATCAATCTTGGGCGCATCTGTCATTATTTGTCTATGAGTTTTGTCTCTCAAGGCTGCAACTGTATGATTATTATGTTACCCCTAAAATCAATCTTGGGCGCATCTGTCATTATTTGTCTCTGAAACAAAAAGAAACATAGTACATTAATAAATATAAAAGTTATGTTCTTGAGACCTCTACGCAATTGTTAAACTGGTTGCTAATATATTCCTGCATCTTCTTCTTGGCAACCAAACTAGCACATAGTTGCATCCATCTGTGTCTCTAAATTTCTTATTTTGCTTATCTTTCTTCTGTGGTGTACATCTCAAAATAAATCCAATAATAATCTGATCCGATATGAATCCGATGTGTAACAGATATGGATTTATAGGTGCAATTTGATAGTCTAACTATTTAAATATTCATAAGAAAAAAGAAAAAAAAAGTCGGGAAAACTAAAGAGACATAGGGATATACCATTTAAATATCCATTTATAAAGTCGTGAAAAAAAAACTATATAAAAACAGTATAGCCATGCTAGGCGTACTAAACATGGGTATAGTCTCATTTAAGTAAATCCCGTTTCTTATCAAACATGGATTTTGAGTGTTATTTAACCCAGTGCAATCCAGTTAGGTGTACCAAACATGGCCTAACAATTTAAATACGTTTCAGACTTGAGCCCTTATTCATTTCAATCAATCCATAAATAAACTCTGTTTTTGTAAAAGTGCAAGTTGGTCTACGAAAATATTTACAAACAAAGAAAATATACAACCACGCTGTTTGATTCTGACAGCTGCTTAAAAATGACCCTACTCGATCGGCTACCTCTATCGAAAATTAATTTACTTTACTTGCATTTATTAATTTAGAGATAGAGGGGCTTTAATTTTCAAAGACTAGTTTTGATATGAAAAAGTCATTTAGATCTCATCTCTCGTTCATATATGCTTCTTATTTTAGATATATATTATTATATAAAAGGCTTTGCTTAGACCACGTCGTGCATAGAGGGACAAGAGCCTGTGTGTCCACACCATCTCCCCGTGCAAAAAATGAGGCACAAAAACAACCAACACTCCCCTCTTCCTCTCTTTCTCCCCCTTCGCCACAAACACCTCATCATGCAATAAGTACAATCCCTCCTACTCTCTTAATACAATCTATCAAAATTCGGATTCCTTATGAAATACCATAAAAGCCCATTCCATTCAATTACATATATACGTATGTAATTTACAAATAAAACGCTCGGGTGGTTGAGAGCAGTTATCCTTATATTCAATGTGTTCTGTGTTCAAATCCCCCTATTACTTACTTGTATAAAATATATAATAATAAAAAACACAATTGTATTGTAATTAATCCCAAGTTAATTAAAGTTACTTGATTAAGCACATCAGGCATGGTACTGTAAACCTCCCTTCCTAGAGTAACGCATGACACAGTACATGTATGCAATTTGATTTCAAGTACCATAACTAGCAGATTATCTTCAACTTCTTCTAAGCAATTTGGCAAATAAAACCACTAGCTAATTCTATAAATAATGAGTTGGTGGTGGACGACTACAATGGCATTATAGTAATTTGAAGAATTGATTCTATGAAGCAGGAAACAAACAAAGTTGATAACAAAAAATACAGATGGAGAAAAATGAAATGATTTGAAAATAGGTAGCTAGCAAAAAAACGACCCTATCTACTTTCTCTCGTTATGGATTATCCACATCTCCATCGAAGTCCCCTCTACACTTAGGCAGTAGCATAGTTATGGGAGAAGAGAAGACAGCGCCTTTGGATCGATGCATGCTTGCTCCAACCAAAAGCCTCCAAGAAAATCAAACATCTCTCCACCACTCTAATTGATATATGAATGGGAAATGAAAAACGTCTCCTCACAATTCAATTTCCCAACCCAAGAAGCAAACGAAAAAGAAAGATCATCATCGGGAACTTGTGAATGGGATTTCAATCTCTCAACAGTTGTGTCTTCAAGCGTCGGCTCCACCGGAGGAGCCGTATCAAATACCATCGGCGTGATCGAGTTCGACCCATCAAACGCA